CCTTTCACCGCGGTTCGCTTCTCCTACAAGTGTCCTTTAGTGGTTAATTCTCACTGATCAAGACATGACGGACCACGAGCTGCTTCCTTTCTTGTCCACTCCTCTCCGCTAATGTAGCTTGAGCCGCCGCTGCCCAGTGATCCCTTAAGCCCCTCGGGTCTCCTCGGTGGATGATTTGGAAGAACGTATTAGAGTCGTGCTTAAGGATATGAAGTCTGTGACCTCCAAAGGGTTTGTCTCTATAGGGCTGGGAAAGGAGAAAAATGGGTTTGATTGAGAATTGTACAAAGTCAAAAATCAAATGAGCAAAGATTAAACCTATCACATAAGCTTGATGAAAAATTGAAATACTAATCATTTAATACATCGTTGGCAAGCTGAAACTGCTCTATGTTATTGGGTTTTCTGTAGTTTATGTAGAATGTAAGTGTATTTACACATTGCACATTGAAAAAAACATTTTTGGCCCTCCCAAAATGCTTTGAGTTGAATCTGACTGTATATAGATAGAACTGAATAGATTTGTATATTGTTTTCAGTTCATTATTGCACATCGATACACAAAGCCTGTCAAATCATACACTTTCATACAGACACACAATCTGATTTTATCTGATCGTTCACTTTATTTTTTACCTGTGAAGAAATTTTGTCCTCTGCATTTGACCCATCCTACAATGCCACCAGGGCCTCTTTCAGGAGCAGAGGTAAGGATGGTCAGGATCAGAGGTGGAGACGACTACCTGACATTACCCGTACTCAACTCTTTTGGGCGCAGCAGTTAGAAGGTCATGGTACCTATTCTACCTCCAGACGGGGCCTTCATGTCTGCAGTTTGCATGTTCTTCCCGTTTCTGAGTAGGATTCCTCGGATAAGAGTTTAATTTATTAAGGACAATGTGCAGTTAAACATGGCTGCACCAGATTAAGCACCATGCTACTTTGACAATACAATAGTATAACACACATATTAAAATACAGTTTAAGTGCAAGTTACCAACATACATATTAGAATACAGTTAAAAAAAGGATAAATTGTACAAAAAAACTAATCATGATGTCCTGTATCACCTTCCTTGACCCTACTGCTGACCCCTGTCTGGGACCAAGACTCGACTGAAAATATATTCTGTAATTTGGTTAAATAAAGGTCACTAACAAAAATTAGTGAATTCTTGTTAGTTCAAATTCCCAAGGCATGAAAAACCAGAGCTATCTAAGATAATGTTAAAGGACAGTCTTAAACATACCTAAATAATAGATTACATGTGAATGCATGGAATCACAAAGAAAGGGGATGTATATCGTGCTGACAGGGATTAGAAAAACTCCAAGCTTGGTTCGTTCAGTGGCCTCATGTACCGAATGTGATTCCCATTTAAATATTTACAGAGTGGTCAGCTTCTGCTCTAATTGGCAAAAGCGTATTCTTCCTCAAACCCTTTCCGTCGAGTTTACACGGGCTTTGTCTGCAGATCTCCAAAGACATAAATAAATGATCGGGATAGATTTTCAACCTAAAAGTGTTTTGTTTCATTATTCAACACAAGGCCTGAGGATCTGCGGCCGAGAGAAGTGAAAAAAAGCCATTTGCAAAACTCCATCATTTATGGACTTTTAGCTTTTGTTTCCAGAATGCATTGTGTATACATGACTTGATGCTAACCCCAAGTCTGGACTGTAAAAATGCGGGATAGTAGAGCCATTGTTAAGCTTTGTCTTTGATGGTTGTTGGATGATTGTCGAGCAGAGCTGTGATTTTAGGGGAGCTATAACCTGGCAGCCTGCACATTGTGGTGAGTAGGACTACAGCCAAACAAGGTTCAACTGTGGTGGCGCTGGTGAAAGAGCAGAAAAATTGGCTTTCTACATAGTTTGGTGAAGAAAAGAACATTTGTTGAAGTCGCCTTAGGTGTAGTTGTTAGTGAAGCTGTTACTTGATATTAAAGCTAAGTGTGTATTCATTTGACTTAAGAGATAAACATATATAATTCCATCACAGTTAAATGCATACATTTTCTTTTCTCCCTGTACACCAACCACTGCACCTCCAGCCACGACTCCGTGAAGCTGATCAAGTTTGCGGACGACACCACCCTCATTGGACTCATCTCCAACAACGATGAGTCCGCCTACAGGAGGGAGGTGGACCGGCTGGTGTCCTGGTGCAGTGGTAACAACCTGGAGCTGAACGCCCAGAAGACAGTGGAGATGATTGTGGACTTCAGGAAGAGCACTGTCCCCCCGCCCCCACCCTCCGTGATGGACTCCCCCATCACCTCTGTGGAGTCCTTCCGTTTCCTGGGCACCACCATCAGCTCCCTCATCAAGAAGGCCCAGCAGAGGACTTCTTGCGGCAGCTCAGGAAAGCCAAGCTGCCTGCACAGATGTTGGTGCAGTTCTACACGGCCATCATCGAGTCCATCCTCACCTCCTCCATCACCGTGTGGTTCGCTGGAGCCACAGTCAGGGACAAACAGAGACTACAGCGCATTGTGCGCTCTGCAGAGGAAGTGATCGGCCGCAGCCTTCCATCGCTGCAGGACCTGTACGTCGCCCAAGCTCGAGGCCGGGCTGGTCGTATCACAGCCGACCCCTCTCATGGACTATTCCAACCACTCCCCTCAGGCAGGAGACTGCGGTCCATCAGGACTAGAACCTCCCGCCACAAGAACAGTTTCTTCCCCTCTGCTGTTGGACTCTTTATAAAGTCACTTTACTGCCCATCATACGTCACTTTACTTCACTGTACTGCTGTCACCTTACATTATGTGCACCATGTGCACTTGTATATTGTAAATAGTAACTGTAACTCTATTCTAAATTAAAATGTATTCCTTAGAAGTGTTTTTTATTCTTTATTTTTTATTATCTCTTTCTGACTGTTGCACTGAGCCAAAGCAATTTCCAAGTCTGTGACTTCCTGTTACTTACGTGGCAATAAAAATGATTCTGATTCTGATTCTGACATTTTTGATAAGGAGGAAGTTGTTGTGAATGGGGTAAGCCTGGGTGTCTCTTCCATGTATCAGGTACGGCTAGGCATTGAGCTGATCTGGGAAGGTCTCAATTGTCAAGTTCACGTAAGCTGGCCCATGGAGGAGGTGGACAATTGTTCTTTTTGCCCAGAAGAATGGGGTGTAATGACCCTTATCCACAACTACCACAAAAGACACCTATCTGTCATGGCTGTTAGAGAGGCCATTGAGAACTGGGGGATGGAGACTTCTTATCGGAACCAGTGTCATGGTGTGGATTTTATTTTTGTATTTTGGTTTTATTTTGACATCAGTTTGGTTTTAGTTTTGCTTCCTGTCTTGTTCCCCTGTGTTGATTGTTCTGCCCCGCCCTGATGTGTTTCACCTGTGTCTGTGTCAATATGTATACTTTGCTTCTCTCCTCTTGTTCATGTCTTTGTCCGTTCCGTTCTGTTCCTGGTTTCTTGTGGTTTTGAATTTTTGAGTTTATTTTTATCTATTTTCATCATAAAATTATTTTTATTTTGGCATGTCCTGCATTTTGAGTCCTTCATTCACCTTTCCCCATGACAGCCAGAAGAAGAGTTTCTGCTGGCAATCAAATGTGTTAATTCATCTTACAATAAATGGCTTCACACAAACATAAACCATTAGTTAAATAATTTATGACAAAGCAAAAACTATTTTATCTCTGAAAAATGTTTACTTATGTCTATATATAAATACATTTTATATATATATATATATATAGACATAATTATACTTTTTTTTGACACAATCTGCTATTTCTGCTCAAACAGTATATATTAACCAACTTGACCCAGTCATTACCACTACAAAGCAATATTATGACTGACGTATTGCTCCGACGGATAGAAGTGTCCTTAAGTGTTCTCGGGCCATATTTGACGTGTGTTTTTTTTCCTTTACCCAGCATGCACTTTGGCCTGCTGCGGCGCTCGGACAGCCCAGACACATCAATCTATATCAGAGGGATTCTTAATGAGCTGCCTTCTCCTATTGATGTAGATGTGGCTGGGACAGGACTCTCCTCCAGGCCCCTGTGCTGTTCCCCAGGGCCCGGGACGTCCAGTGAAGAGCTCATTGTTGGGTTTCATATTCCTCTGTCTATCGGCACATGCACGCGGCTGCTGCATATATACATGGGGTGTAGATAACAGAGCGAGGAGGGGGCTGGGACTGTCTGATCCATCCACCAGCAGGAATACTGTACATGGGAAAGAGATGCTTTTGATGGACTTAGATACTGCATGATTTTACACCTCCCTTATCCCAAAGAAAGACATGTTTTGACATGAAATATTTTCTGAGAATTTATTTTAGAAAGTTACAGGAATAATACTATTACGAGCCACTAGGTGGTGGTGTCCAGGAGTGTGGCTCAATAACAAAATTAAAACCGGGTGTGGAACAGAGACAGGAGGCGGAGGTCCAAAAAGTAAAAGGTTTATTAAAAGAGGTGCAAAAGAACCACTGTTTAATCACAAAACAAAATGCTCCAAAAGAGGTGAGGTGCAGCGACAAGACCCACTGGTCCAACGGACGGTCGAAGTTGCAGAGAGTCAGCCTGGTCTCGATCCCGGCCCTTTATACCTCCCAGCAGATTACCCACAGGTGTGAGTGGGACGTCACTCAGCTGGAGGTGGGAGGGTCTGAGAGGTGGAGGCAAGGAGAAACAAAACACCAAAACCAAAAGGACTTTGTCCGTAACACCTCCCCCCATAAAAACTAAGCTCTACTCCTCGTTAACAGGAAAACAGGTTCTTCTGTAAAACAAACTAATTCACAAAGTGGGAAAGGATATGGGTGCCACCACCACCACCCAAGTGGTAATGCAAGTCCCCTGTGATGCCAAGAGGCCTCAGCCACAACATGGTCCTTTCCACTCCAGTGCTGATACGAACGGTGTAGTCTACAGTCAGCAGCGCCCCTGCTGCAGCCGTTGATCCGGGTTGGACATCAGGGCCAGAGAAACCAGGGTGTTGTGGTCTGAAAAGAAAGTTACCGGGACACAAGGCGACCCAACAAAAAATGTAGGCGCTGCAGAGCCAGCAGCATTGCCAACGCCATGCCCATGAAGGACAAAAACCGAGACACACCAGGGTCAAACTGTCTGATTTCGGTAGAGACCTCGTCAAGCAGTTTGGTTGGTCCAGGTATGCCGCAACTTAACACAAGTCCAGCCAGACTGAACTTGCGACCAGCTTTCTTATCTGTGGGTGGAGGGGACACAGAAGTGATTAACTCTGGCTTCTCAATGTAAACCGTGGTGTTATCAGTCCGTCCACACGAGGGCGCACCAACACCTGCAAAATCAGGAGCAAGCACAGAATTACCAACGTCACTCTGCCTCCCTCTTTCAGAGGGAGCGTGGGTCAAAACGCCCACATGATGGACTCCACCCCATCAATTGGAGACTGGTCACGAACAGCTACAGGGAAAGCTCCAACTACGTGCGCGGGACTAACGTAAGCACTATGAGCCTTGGGCCACGACTCATAGAACCGCAAAATAGCACCTTTCACACAGTCATAGTCCAACATGTCTGAGACTGCCAAAGATGCACACGCTTCAGACGCCCTGTCACTTAGGTTGCACTGCAGAAGGATTGCCCACACATCCCTAGGCCAGTGTAATGCCCCTGCAATGCGCTCAAAAACACAAAAATAGGACTCAACCTCAGTCTCACGGAAAGTTGGGACAAGCGGGATATTTTGAGTCACGTCAAACTCAGGCGCACTGACCACAGGTGACGAGGAAACTGGACTGCGACCCGCTGATTGCAACTCTAATTGCCGCATCCTAAGCGCAGCGTCAGCCTCTATCTTTTTAAAGGCCACTTCGCGAGCAGTAACAGCCTCCGCTTCAATACGCTTTAACGCAATCTCACGCTTTAGCTGAAACTCACGCTCCTTCTCCCTCTCATACTTTAAACGAGCAATGCGCACATCCACGAGCACATCACGGGGAGAATGAACCAGGCTCAGAGACTTCACCTCAGTCTCTTCAAACGGCGCAGAAGGAGAGCCCACCTGTGGCTGCTCCACGCGCTCTACACCAGGACGCATGGGGGACATCACTGTATCTCCTGCCGTCACCCGTTCAAGCAAATCGATTTTGCTTCACAAAGTCAACGCCACTTGCGTTGGTTCAGCCACCAAGGCTTCTAAAACAAATGTAGCCATCACTCACCGGACGTAAAGTAATCACGGATCCTGATCACAGCTGATCCCACTCACAGCTGACCACACCTGCTGCTGCTCTCCACAACGACACGCCTCCTGGGATGTGCCAAGTACGCGCCCGCACACAGCTGCGCTCAAAACTTACGCACACCCACGCACACTCACGGGGAGAAAAAAAGTTATGCAGGGTGCATTAAAGACAATCAAATCCTGTAGTTAAACACAAGAATTGAACCCAGACTCCTACTCAGGAACAACTAGACCTAGATATCTTCTGGGACTTGCCGGGCTCGAGGCGTGCAGCCCCCGTCAGAGAATCCACTCCGCCCAGGATTCGTCCCGAAAATAATAAACTAAAACAAAAAACGGATGCCCGAAGGAATGGCGAATAAATCAACCAAGCTGGACACCCCCCCTAGTCTAGCTGGGTCAATTCAGATCACAATGCCAAATGCACACACACACACACGACTCACCAAGAGCGCACAGATGACTCCCGTGCACCCACCGCAGTTCCACAGAATCCCGGACGAGCCCCCAACTATTACGAGCCACTAGGTGGTGGTGTCCAGGAGTGTGGCTCAATAACAAAATTAAAACCGGGTGTGGAACAGAGACGGGAGGCGGAGGTCCAAAAAGTAAAAGGTTTATTAAAAGAGGTGCAAAAGAACCACTGTTTAATCACAAAACAAAATGCTCCAAAAGAGGTGAGGTGCAGCGACAAGACCCACTGGTCGGACGGTCGAAGTTGCAGAGAGAGTCAGCCTGGTCTCGATCCTGGCCCTTTATACCTCCCAGCAGATTACCCACAGGTGTGAGTGGGACGTCACTCAGCTGGAGGTGGGAGGGTCTGAGAGGTGGAGGCCAGGAGAAACAAAACACCAAAACCAAAAGGACTTTGTCCGTAACAAATACACTAGACTATATATGCAAGATTATTATCTCTTACTCAGTCTCCAAATAGCCAAATTACAAAACAAAAGGATTTCAGAAGGAGGCCAAAAAGGATAAAATGCACACAAAAATAACAATACAATAAACTTGACAACACAGACAACCACAAATGTTGCAAAATCAAATCCACATACAATTTCTACCGGTATATCACATTTATTTTTTCTTTTCTCTTTTTGGTTAAGCACTTTGAGTAGCCTTGTCCATGAGCTGTGCTTAACAAATTATGTGATCATTGTCTATGAATAATGAAATAAACTGACCACAAGTCAAATCTGAAATTCTTTAGATCAAAGCTGAGGTATCTTACTCAAACATTAACAATTGAACAAAAGAGCATCAAACTTGTTCCTGGCTCTAAAACAATTGGGTTCAATCAATGATGTCATGTCAATTCACATGTATGTAGATGAGCTCTAAGCCCAAAGCCTCAAATAATGACTCAAAGGGCAGTATACAAACAAAATAAAAACAAAATCTGTTAATATGAATACACATGTTTTGTCTGTTTGACCTTCCACTTGTACGAGACTCTTACTGTTTATGACAAAAAATATACAGTACATGGTATTTATAGAATAAAAAAAATCAGGTCAAACGATCTCACTTTCTCTAAACAGGTAGACAGAAATGTTGCATCACATGTGTAGGTGAGTGTGTGTGTGCCTGTGTGTGCATAATTTTGTGACATGTTGGTTCACTCTTTTTCAATTGCTCTTTGAAGTTCTCAGTGTCTAAAACCTGTATTTTTTACAACTCTAAGTATGGTTTGTGGAAATGTTGTGACTGTATTGGTCCCACATTTAACATGTGTGGTTTAGAGCCAGTGCGACCAGTCATTTCCCTCTGGCAACAAATGAAATGTATTTTTGTATTTTTGCATTTTCCCCACATCTTTGCCAGGAGATTGAAGTCTACTGTATCTGGGGTGAAGGAGATGCTGCACACTTGAGAAAGCAGAATTTCTCGACTGGGATGTCACCAGTACAATTTCAGATGGACATTTGGACGGACGAGCAGGTTGGCAGGCTGAGCTGAGCTGGGCAGGAGTGAAGTTTGAGGTGTCATTTTTTCAGAGTTCAGTGGTGTCAGCCATGATGGACACAGTCTCTGATGTCAATAACCAGTATGGGTCAGCTTTTCAGTGTATTCTGATGAGATAACTTTGCTGCTTATGAGAATGCACTGTGCTTATCAATGACCCTGCTACAGTGGAGGAACTCTGCAACACATATACATTGATTGAGAGGTGATGGCAGTGTCTAATTAATTTCTAAAATAATCTGTGTTTCTGAATGCATCATGTACAGTGCAATACAGATTTAATGGATGAGAATAGTTGAACTGACCATGAGGGACCTCAAGGATTTGGATTATTTTTCACAAATCAGGAGGCTGGGCAGGTCTAATCAGTGATCGTCTTCAAAAAGTTTAACTATGTCTTCCCAATAAAAAATAGTAGATAACTCTATCCTACCTTCTTTTATCCAGTTTCAACATTTTTACACGTTGTACACGTTGTCCAAATTTCCTTTCATTCAGGCCACTCCCAGATACTGACTGAAAACTATCTTTAGCTGATGGCAATTTGGTCCTGAGCTCAAATTTGAAGACAATAATTGAATTATCACAACAAAACTGTTTAATTTGAAGGTAATTGAATAATCAGATAATTACAACTATACAGACTGAAATTGTTGTGTGTGAATGGGATTTTACAAAATGAGTAGGTAAGTAAGTAATCTTTATTTATATACCGCCTTTCACAGACCAGAGTCACAAAGTGGTTTACAATTGTTATATATATTTTTTGGGGCACAAAAAAGAACAGTGTCCTCAAAATGACACAGGAATTTACCACTGCTTAAGGGAAAACACATTCAATGTTTAATGATGAATGGTCTCAAGCAGCTCACGGTCAAACTACCAAAAATAATTATCCTCTGTCCTACTTTATCTGTCATAATTATGACTTTAGCTGTAGTCTTTTAATTGCTATTCACCCACCCTAATGTTTTACTGTTGCAGCGTCTCCGTGTAAAAGTAAAGTAAGAGGAAGGAGGTATTTTTTACTTATTTCGGCTGGAGAGCATGTGCTTTGCAGGACAAATAGTCCAGTAAAAAAGTCCAGTATAAGCAAGCAACTACTGCCTTTTCTACAGTAGTACAGCCATTGGAATAGTCAAGACTTTTTAAACTCAAGCACTGGAAGAGTCCCTCACCTTGGTTCTTCTTTCCTAGTGTACTCTCATGTGAATTTGAGTGGAACATCAGTTGTACCTTCACAGATGTCGATTCGGAGAGTGACCAAAACGGGAAAAAAAAACATCAAATCGGACTAGACTCTTTCGGCTACAACTGAAACCAAGACAGAGCGCTTTGACAGTGATTGATGTCTGCTCCTTTTCCCTGATTCGCTGATTAAACCCATCAATCTATATGCAGAAAAGGTGTCCAATGCAAATAGGCCCAATCAGGCAGGACAAAACGGTTTTGTCAGGAAGTTATGGAAATACGACTGCGCGCCCAACGTTATATAGGTGAGGCTGAGCGCTTGGATTGGGCGCCGTGATGCTCCAAATTAGGAGATTACATGCTCTCCGCTCCTTTCCCTTTGTTCCTGCTCTGATGCCCAAATTGTCCTGCCATTCTTTCTTTTCTTCGCTTAGTGGTCAAAAGCCCGCTGCTTGCACACACGCTATGCTACACTCAAGCAATTGTCTGGGAAAGCATTTAAAGCAAACCACGCATTAAAGGTGATTGCCGCAAGGAATTAGCCGCCCATCTGAAGCCCCGGACTGACACGCCGGTGAATGACGAGCCCGCCGATGTGACCTCTTGTTTTGTTGGAGCTGGGAGGCCTTGTGTATCTGTTCAGAGGCAGATTTTTAATGCATTGAGCCACCTGAGAAGCCTGACCTGGCGGCAGCTCATTTGAATAAAAGTAGAGCAGAGAAAAGCACATTTGTTGTCGGGCAAATGCATTTCTCTTAAGAGCGCACACAGAGAGGGAAAAGAATCACCTCTGAAAGCATCAAGCCGTTAATTCCAGATGGGTCCGTGTGTGTGTGTGTGCATGTGTATATCTTTTTGTACTTGAGCGTTTTTTTGTGGCGTCCTCCTTTTGTTGCCCTTGTCTGCGAAGCCTGACCATTTCAATATCTCAGGCTATCTAATAACAGTCATTCCTCGGTGGATTTTCTGTCTCATCTCACTTCCGGGCCCCAACCCCTCCTCCAGCCAATTGTGATCCAAATCAGTTTAATTAAGTAACAAATTCTGTTGGCATAGTAACAGCCTAGCTAATTTATCATGGGAAATAGTCTGTGAGACGTGTCGGTTGCCAGGCAACAGCCAATGGCAGCGCTCGATTCGGCCGCTGACAAATTGCGCTAGATGCAGATGTGGGATGGTGACGCTGCCTTCAGGTGCAGCAGGACAAACGAGTTTCAGATAAAACTCAAGATCCAGAGGTCATGGCCTTTCATCTCTTCCATGCTATACACATTAGGGAAGTCACAATTAGCGGTTACATATAGTTAAATTGGTTATTCAGACCACAATACAATCTAGAAAAAGAAATTGATCGATATGTAATGATATTTTATGAATAACAATACCATTTTGCACAGCTGCATGAACTCTATCCCTTAAAAGGTTTTACAATTGTTGCTGCATGTTTTTTTATTCATTCATGTTTTTACATACATTCACTCATTACTTAGGAAAAGTCCCATGGATATTTCAGAAATTCTATTTAGGAGAGTTCTGGTCCCAGGGAAGCAGAAGCACCCAGAGGAAGCCTACACAAACATGGGTAGAACATGCAAACTCCTTTCAGAAAGGCCCCATTAAACCCAGACTTTCTTGATGAGTAAAAACTTATACTAGTATAAAAACGTATAAAGTGTAGGCAAAAAAAGCATTAGCTTCAGCCT